GCTGGGTGTCGTATCCACTTTTGTGGTATCGCGCGGTCTTCTTTTCTAATGCTTTTCGTAACACAAAGTCCAGACTGATCAACACTATAGGCAGGACAGATTTTTGACTTGAACAGAATAGGCTAAGCAGCTGATTCTACTCAAAATATTAAGCAGCAATTCCCAATTCATTTGTACTTGGTGTGGGCTTCGTCCACATTCTGTGTCAAAATATTCTTCCCTTGCTCTGAAACATGGCTGAAGCAAGGAAATGAATTGTGATCGGGTCTGTCAAGATTAAGAGAGAGCTCTTGCCATCTCGGGAATATGCCACTGCATACACCCTAAAACAATATAACTCCCTCAAGATTTGCCATTGTCCATTTAAGTTGTCACATTCTACGAGATGCTGCAAGTGACTCGGGGAGATAGAGCATAAAAATGCTGAAGCTTCTGTTTGAGTTTAAATCAGCCTTCTTTTGGATATATTATTAGTGGTGAATGTTACAGTAAGTCTAACCTTACTATAAGGTTAGGAAATAAAATTTTTAAAAAATAATAAAAAATTATTTGAAAGGTTAACAGATAAACAACATATATAATTTTTAAATTTATTCATTTTAAGATAACAATGTAGATAATTTTTAAATTTATTTAGTTTATTTAAAAGTCATTTAAGTTTTAATTTTATTTTATTTTAACTTTAAACTATAGCAATATTATTCTTTTTAATATTAACATTATATTTAATTAATTAATGTAATAAAAATTATTATTATTACTCGTTATGTTAACTCTTACACATTTATGTTAAGATTTTAACTTTTTTTATTTCACTTTTATAAAATTTTACATTAATTCTTACAACTTTACATCAAACTTTTACAATAGTAACTTTTTACCTTTAAATTATTTTTATCTTATATATCTTTATTTAACATAAAAATTTGAATATGTACATATTTTAATCCAATCATATAAATATAAATGCTTATTTTTCATTAAAATTAGACTTTTTTACTTAATTAACTTATTACGTTAACTCTAATACATTTACGTTAAAATTTAAAATTTAGTTATTCTACTTTTATAAATTTTTACGTCAATTGTTACAGTTTTACGTCAAAATTTATCCATGACAATTTTGAGTTATAATTATTATTATTTATTTTTTTATTTAAAAATTAAAATTTATATATCGTTAAACACATTTAGCTGAAGAATATATATTTAAATATTTTTTTTCACTAAAATTAAAATTTTTTTACTCAATTGACTTATTATGTTAACTCTCACATATTTACGTTAAGATTTAAAATTTAATTATTACACCTTTATAAGTTTTTGCGTCAACTGTTACAGTTTTATATCAAGATTTATCTATACAATTTTGAACTATAATTATTTTATTATTATTATTTATTTAAAAATAAAATTTATATATCGTTAAACACTTTTAATCCGAGAAATTAGATTTAAATATTATTTTCCACTAACATTAGATTTTTTTTTTACTTAATGAACTTGTTACCTTAACTCTTACATGTTTACGTTAAGATTTAAAATTTAGTTATTCTATTTTTATAAATTTATACGTCAATTCTTACAATTTTACATTAAGACTTATCTATGTTAATTTTATATTTATAATTATTTTTATCTTTATTTTTTTATTTAAAAATTAAAATTTATATATCGTTACATACTTTTAGCTCGATAATATAAATCTAAATACTTATTTTTTTTATTAAAATTAGACTTTTTTACTTAATTAACTTATTACGTTAACTCTCACATATTTATGTTAAAATTTAAAATTTAGTTATTCCACGACTTATCTATATCAATTTTAAACTATAATTATTTTTATCCTTATTATTTTTATTTAAATATTAAAATTTATATATTGTTAAATACTTTTATTCTAAGAATATAAATTTAAATATTTATTTTTCAATAAAATTAAATTTTTTTTACTTAATTGACTTGCTATGTTAACTCTCATATATTTATGTTAAGATTTAAAATTTAATTATTTCATCTTTATAAGTTTTTACCTTAATTCTTATAATTACGTCACAGAATTTTTCTATGTCCATTTTAAACTATAATTATTTTTAAACCTTATTATTTTTTATTTAAAAATTAAAATTTATATATCGTTAAATACTTTTAACCTAAAAATATAAATTTAAATATTTATTTTTTATTAAAATTAAATTTTTTTACTTAATTGATTTGTTACGTTAACTCTCACAAGCTTATGTTAAGATTTAAAATTTAGTTATTTCACTTTTATAAGTTTTTACGTTAATTCTTACAGTTTTATATTAAGACTTATCTATATCAATTTAAACAATAATTATTTTTATCCTTATTATTTTTATTTAAAAATTAAAATTTGTATCTTGTTACATACTTTTAGTTCGAAAATATAAATATAAATGCTTATTTTCATTAAAATTAGATTTTTTTACTTAATTAACTTATTACGTTAACTCTAATACATTTACGTTAAGATTTAAAATTTAGTTTTTCCACCTTTATAAGTTTTTACGTCAATTCTTACAGTTTTAGGTCAACGCTTATCTATGTCAATTTTAAACTATAATTATTTTTATCTTTATTATTTTTATTTAAAAATTAAAATTTATATATCGTTAAATACTTTTATTCCAAGAATATAAATTTAAATATTTATTTTTTAATAAAATTAAATTTTTTTACTTAATTGACTTGCTATGTTAACTCTTATACATTTATGCTAATATTTAAAATTTAATTATTTCATCTTTATAAGTTTTTATGTTAATTCTTATAATTTTACGTCAAGATTTTTTTATGTTCATTTTAAACTATAATTATTTTAATCCTTATTATTCTTTATTTAAAAATTAAAATTTGTATATCGTGAATCATTTTTAGTTTGAAAATATAAATTTAAATATTTATTTTTCACTAAAATTAGATTTTTTATTTTTTATTACGTTAATTCTCACATATTTACGTTAAGATTTAAAATTTAGTTATTCCAACTTTATAAGTTTTTGCATAAATTCTTACAGTTTTATGTCGAAACTTACCTATGTCAATTTATTAAACCATAATTATTTTTATCTTTTTATTGAAATTATATTATATTGTTACATACTTTTAGCCCGATAATATTAATATAAATGCTTATTTTTTATTAAAATTAATTTTTTTTACTTAATTAACTTATTATGTTAACTCTCGCACATTTACGTTAAGATTTAAAATTTAGATAATCCACCATTATAAGTTCTTTCCTCAATTCTTATAGTTTTATGTTAAGACTTTTATGTCAATTTTGAACGATAATAATTTTTATTTTATTTATTCTTTATTTAAAAGTAATATTGTAATTTCATTACGTACTTTCAGCTCGATAATATAAATACAAATGTATATATTTTTATTAAAATTTATTTTTTTACTTAATTAATTATTACGTTAACTTTTAAATATTTACGTTAAGATTTAAAATTTAGTTATTTCACCTTTATAATTAGTTGTATATCAATTTTTAATATTTATCTCAAGGCTTGTCTATGTCAATATTGAACTATAATTTTTTTCATTATTATTTTTTATTTAAAAATTAAAATTTATATATCGTTAATCACTTTTAGCCTGAAAATATAAATTTAAATATTTTTTTATTAAAATTAGATTTTTTTACTTAATTGACTTGTTACATTAACTCTAACACATTTACGTTAAGATTTAAAATTTAATTATTTTATCTTTATAAGTTTTTACGTCAATTATTACAGTTTGATGTCCAAACTTAAAAATTAAAATTTGTATTATGTTTAAACACTTTTAATTCGAGAATATAAATTTAAATATTTATTTTCACTAAAGTTAGATTTTTTTTACTTAATTGACATGATTACGTTAAACTTTTCAGCACGTTACGTTAAAATTTAAAATTTAGTTATTCTACTTTTATAAATTTTTACGTCAATTGTTACAGTTTTACGTCAAAATTTATCCATGACAATTTTGAGTTATAATTATTATTATTTATTATTTTTTATTTAAAAATTAAAATTTATATATCGTTAAACACATTTAGCTGAAGAATATATATTTAAATATTTTTTTTCACTAAAATTAAAATTTTTTTACTCAATTGACTTATTATGTTAACTCTCACATATTTACGTTAAGATTTAAAATTTAATTATTACACCTTTATAAGTTTTTGCGTCAACTGTTACAGTTTTATATCAAGATTTATCTATATCAATTTTGAACTATAATTATTTTATTATTATTATTTATTTAAAAAATAAAATTTATATATCGTTAAACACTTTTAATCCGAGAATATAGATTTAAATATTTATTTTCCACTAACATTAGATTTTTTTTTTACTTAATGAACTTGTTACCTTAACTCTTACATGTTTACGTTAAGATTTAAAATTTAGTTATTCTATTTTTATAAATTTATACGTCAATTCTTACAATTTTACATTAAGACTTATCTATGTTAATTTTATATTATAATTATTTTTATCTTTATTTTTTTATTTAAAAATTAAAATTTATATATCGTTACATACTTTTAG